AACCTTAAGATGCACACTTCATTGAACCAAGTGCAACTCCATATTATCAAAGAAATTAAACAACACTTCACTCAATCTGATGTTCAGGCCATATGCATCCACACAACTCTCTCAGTGCATATCAAATCAAAAAACGTCCATGCAAACATATTAATCTAACAATACAAAAAATTCTTACCTTCTTCACACGCCAGAGCATTTTGTTACATTGCGTGTTCTTCTTGGAGTGAAGCCATAAGCGCAAATGATATTTAAACCGCCATTGATGTTCACAGCCGCCGTCCTTCGTTGACAGTCAAGCTATTGCCGCTCGCAGGGAAATAATATATGGGTAATTTGGAAGCCTTACCACGCTCACAAATTTGGAAGCCTTCCAAATTACAGAATTGACAGTCAAGCTATTACCGCAAATAATATATATATATATATATATATATATATATATATATATATATATATATTAAAGTATTAAGTATAAGTGTATTACTCATCTTATAGTAATATACTTATATATTATATACTATAAACATTATATTATATATTACTTATAATACATTTACACGTTATATAAACTATATAGACTTATACACATTCATACATTTTATAGACTTGTCATTTATCTATTAAATTAGTTAATTGTTATATTTCTCTACATTTCCCTTTAAAAAAAATATTAGTTACTTGTTACGTACATACTAGTATCATTTTTCATTTAATATTAGTTAAACTAGTTACTTAGTTAATTGCTACATTTCTCATTAAAGTAAAAAAAGTAGTTATTTTTTACATTTGTCATATTAATATTAGTTAAACTAGTTAATTGTTACATTTCTCATATTAATATTAGTTAATTGCCACATTGCTCATTAAAGTAAAAAAAAAATAGTTAATTTTTACATGTGTCATATTTATATTAGTTAAACAAGTTAATTGTTACATTTCTCATATTAATATTAGTTAATTGCTACATTGCTCGTTAAAGTAAAAAAAAGTAGTTAATTTTTACATTTGTCATATTAATATTAGTTAAACTAGTTAATTGTTACATTTCTCATATTAATATTAGTTAATTGCCACATTGCTCATTAAAGTAAAAAAACTAGTTAATTTTTACATTTGTCATATTTATATTAGTTAAACAAGTTAATTGTTACATTTCTCATATTAATATTAGTTAATTGCTACATTGCTCATTAAAGTAAAAAAAACTAGTTAATTTTTACATTTGTCATATTAATATTAGTTAAACTAGTTAATTGTTACATTTCTCATATTAATATTAGTTAATTGCTACATTTCTCATTAAAGTATTAATTACAAGTAGTTCGAATTTTTTTTCAAGGAAAACAAATTGTTACATTTGATATACTCATATTTTAGTTCGAATTTGCTATAGTTTTCTTAGTCACATTTTATTATTACTATTGTACTCATATAAAATATTTGATATCATTTAATATTTGTTCGATTTTAAAGATGGAGCGTGGTAGACATTCTGTAGATATATGGGTAATCTCCAACGCAACCGCAAGAGGGAGATTACGGCGACTCGTCCTACTTCACGCAAAGGCAAAGGTAAAGCGCGGGCCGAGTCTTCTTTTCAAAGTCGAGATGATTTTGAAAAGGATTACCAACGGAGAGATGATATGGTGATGTCCGACGAGCAACTACAAAACCTATTGTCCCAAAATGATCCACGCTTTGCACAAGAACAACAATTCCCGACAACCATTGATGAAGAGGAGCTCGAGGATGACGATGCGGAGGAGGACGTGGGGGGCGACGGGACTCACGCCACCCCGGATGATGACCAAGAGTTGGAGGACGAGGGCGGTTCATCCCAAGTTGGTAAGAAATCTATATCTCCTATTATTGAAAACAATTTTACAAAAAGGAAAGACAAAAATGCCGATAAATGGTACGCAAGTTGCAATCATTGCAACAAAGAGTATAGCTTGGGAACTTCTGGCGGATACGGGAGTCTGACAAGGCATCTTAAGTCCGCCCATCTTGTGGAGTATGCGAAAATAGACAAAGGCAAGGGGAAGCAAACACAAATATCGAGGTTTGCAAATTCTCAACCCTTTGGTAATTTCTCCTATGATGATAAAAAACATTTGACTGGTATGTCTCATTTAATTGTTGAAGAAAATTTACCTTATATTTTTTCCGAAAGTCTTGCTTTAAGAGATTATGCTCAAGGTACTTTAAATCCTCAATTTAGAAATTATAGTCGCAAAACGATTAAAAAAGAAGTTATAAGGCAATATAACTTGGAAAAAGAAAAATTACAAACATTTTTCGCAAACTTTGATGGACGTGTTAGTATTTGTAGCAATATATGGGAGGATACTTATCATCATTTATACTATTTGGGTCTTACTGCACATTATATTGATGATGATTGGAATATGCATAAACGTGTTCTTGCTTTTCGTGAATTAAATGATCGTCATACTACTGATAATATTTATATTCTGATTGAGCGTATTTTAATTGAGTATAATTTGTTTGATAAGGTGTTTGCTGTAGGTTTTGATAATGCTAGTAATAATACTGCTGCTATACCTAGATTGCGTGAATTGTGTGGTGCTTCTACATTGATGGGTAGGTTTTTTCATCAACGTTGTGCATGTCATATTCTAAATTTGTGTGTACAAGATGGATTAGCGGCATTAGGAAATGCTTTGGAGGTAGTCAAGGGGGGAATTAAATTGATTTGGGCTAACACTCCACTAAAAATGCAATGGCAGCAATATTTGAAGGAAAGATGTGTCAATTATTGTGCTTTTCCTAAAGATTTGTCTATTCGTTGGAATAGTACTTATAACTTAATTCAAGTACTTATTAGATATAAAGATCATTTTCCTGATTTTTTAAGACAAACTTGTAACTATAGTATAAACCCGGCTGACATCGACACTTGTGAAAAAATTGTTAATGTTTTGGTATATTTTAATAACGCAACTCAAACTTTTAGTCATGTTTATAAACCTACCGCAAACGAATTTTTTGTTGAAGCTGTTAATCTCGCCGACGCTTTTTTAGAATTTTCCGATGCCGCTTACGTTAGTTATTTTTGTGATTTCATGAAACAAAAGTTTTTAAAATATTATTCACATGTTCCGCATATATATGTTATTGCATTTGTTCTTGATCCTCGTTATAAACTTGCCTCGTTCCCAAGTTGTATAGATTACTATTATGCTTCTTTTTTTCCAACTCAAGAGTTCGATGATAATCCCATCGACCCTAAAGAAGAATACAACGAGGTTAGTAATTTATTTCATCAGTTGTATAATGAATTTCATGCACCCCCTCTCATGTCGTGAACATCTTTTTCATCTAAAGGAAAATCACTTTTAAAATCTGCATTTGGTTCTCTTTTGAAAAAAAGTAGAGCAGCTCCCGCTACTGAACAAAGTTCAGTTAACGAGCTTTCTTTGTATCTAACATTGAATGTTGATTATGAAGTTGGGGATGACTTTGACGTTCTTAAGTGGTGGAAGGAAAATGAAAGAACGTTCCCGGTTTTATCAAAGATGGCTAAGCAAGTGCTAGCAATGCCGATATCAACAGTTGCCGTGGAACAAGAATTTAGTGCGGCCGACAACGTCCTAACCGATTATAGAACGAGGTTGAGCCCGAGCTCTCTTGAGACGCTAGTTTGCTTCCACGATTGGTTAAAGGCCCAACGAAGAACTCAAGAAATGACCATCGCTCCCACCCGCCACTTTATGGAGGAAACAACCACCGAAGGCGGAGATTCCGATTGATTTTTTTTATTACAAAATGTATTACATGTATTGAATTCATCCTAATTCTCAATTGTACTTCTTATTTGAAATAAATATACTTGAATTATTTTAAATTATTGTGTACATCAATTCAATAATCAACAAAAAAAATTATTCAATAATCAATTCAATAAAATTAATTTGTAAATTTGTACTTCATAAAATTAATTAATTGGTTACAAACTTACAAGTTACAACTTCAAATTATTTTTGTAAAATCTAAAGTTTGTTTTTAAATTAAAAATACATTTGCAATATGTAATTTGTTTAAATACCTATACACCTATTTTGTAACATTTGTAAATTATAAATCAAACCACTTTTCTAAGTAAAAATAGTTTTACTTAATTTATAAAATTAATTAACTTATTTTACAAAATGTATAATTTTCAAAAAAAAAATTAAAAACATTTTAAATTACAACATAGCTCCCAAACGGCTATATAGCTGTTGGGGCTTAGGGTGGGGGGCAGGGGGGTCCCGGGGGTGGTGGTGTGGGGAGGGGTTCAAAAAAAATCTATAAATACATCTATTTTCTACCATTTTTCTACACCTCTTCTCCAACTCTTCTCCATCTTTATTTTCTCTTATTATCCTACATTCCTACTTATACATTTACCATTTTAAAGATGAAAAGTAATTCTTCTCTTATGCAAAACAATTTTGATAAGTGCAAGGACCCGAAGACCGGACTGTGGTGGACAACTTGCAAGTGGTGCAAGAAAGAGTGTTGCTTGGGACGTTCACACGGAGTCGGGATGTCAATAAAACATAGGAAGTCATGTGACAAAGGCAAAACAACAACCAACAGTGGCGGAAATCTCAATTGATATTTATTAGAAAATGTATTTCATATTGTTATTTTTTTCTCAATTCTCAAATGTACTTCCTATTTCAAATAAATGCACTTGAATTTTGTTTTTAATAAGAATTTGTATAATAACATAATATATAATTTAAAAAAATTAAGAAAAAGGCCCAGGCCGTGAACCGGGCGGGTTACCCGGCCCGAACCGGACCCGGGGGTTACCCGGGCCGGTTCCGGGCCCCCCCTTTCCTAAACCGAGGCCCGGCCGGTCCTAGGCCCGGCCCGGGTCCATCCCTAATCCAAACTTGTATCAGCTTGTAAAAACGAACCAGTAACTAAACAACCGCCAAAACTACCTTTTTTGTTATTAGTCCCAAACACATGGTGTAATTTAACATTGTCAAAGTCACAATTGTTTGGAAGAGATCTAAACGTTGTTAAGAAACAATCTTTTTTCATTTGTATGTGTATTGTGCTTTACAACAAGGTACTATTTGAAATTCATTTAAATAAACTAATGAACACTGAACACAGTATCAGATGATATTTTTTGCTGAACTTGTGGTATTTGTGCATCTCTTTGAGGGGGGAAATGTGCAACTGTTTGAGGGAAATGATGATCCCTGCACAGCTAACTCACCTGGTCATCAGGCAGCGCGGTGTAAGTGTCGTCTAATGAGATGGTCAACTCTCAGATGAACCGTGTAAAATCATACCATCATTTACACATTAACTATTAAGGGTCCCAACTATTAATGGTGCTGATATTGTTGACTGAAACAGGACGGTCAGCACAGTCAATGATACTCCGAAATCGTTATTGACTGAAACTATTAGAAAAAATTAAATGGTCATTGACACAAGCACAAGCTTTACTACTCCATATATTTGTATATTTGCCAATGAATGCAAACGTGGTGCTCCCCAAGCTCAAACTGCATATGTTAACCTTCATTGGTTTCTACAATTCTACCCACATTATGAGTATATTGGTTTAGGTAGGAGCACTATTTAAATTGTTGCAATGGTTTGGCACTGTTAACAAATGTTGCGCTTCTGTTGAAGTCCCCAAGCACTAGAATTCTCACTGCCTCCAAGCCATTTTGTAATGTGAAATCAAGCTGAAAAGAAGACATATTCAACATATGAGAAGTGAGAACCTTGGTAAGGACTACATTTGTCTAAGAAAATCTATACTGTGAAGTATTTTTTCATTAAAAACGATTTGAGTCAACCCACTCATATAAGCTATAGTTCAATTGGAACACATGGAGAAATATATAGGATGATGATGGAATCTGAACTTCATGAAAAAATAATAAAGGAGAAATTCAAATTCAGGTGAGAGTGAAATTATTTGGAATAATTACTCGTTGGTAAGCTAAGAAATAAGGAGGAAAAGAGTGAGGGAACAATGATGATTAAGACTAAAATGCCCTTGTACAAGAACAAAATACAAAGTAATAAATGGCTAGGGTTGACACTTGAGGGTAAACTATTTCAAGCACATCCATTTTCTCCCAAAAATCAACAAGAACAAATAAAAACGATAAGAACAATAAGAGCGATTTGGTCAATTACTCGTCATTTATTCAGCGAGTTCAATAAAAAAGTTTTTCTATGGAGAAATTATTTTCACCGTGCCATGAATTAAATAAGAAAAAAAAAGACAAATAAGCCCTCGAACTATTTGTGATCTTGCAATCAGGCCGAACTAGAAGATTTACAAATACACACTCAACTCGTTGAAAATTAAGGCATCAGATTCCTTAATTTTTCATGAGTAAATTGTCTCCTTACCTGCACCAACGGGTAAAGCAGGATCTGATTTCTTAATTTTCAACGAGTTGAGGGTGTATTTGCAAGTCTTCTGATTCAGGATCTGATTGCAAAATGACTAATAGTTCGAGGGCTTATTTGCCTCTTTTCCCATTAAATAATGAATCCCGACAATATTTTTTTTAAAGGAAATCTCTTCTTTCTAATTGCTGATTATGCGCTGATTATTCAGACACCCACACCATTTTTTTAAAAGGAAATTTTATTGAAGAACCAATTGAAAGTACAAATTGAAAGAAATAAAAACAAAAATGAGCATGAAACAGAAATACAAGCAAACCAACCCCAAGTACATAAACATCACCTCCCCTAAATATATCCCAACAATAAAATAAGCAGTTATAGTGTTTACCAAAAAATCTGAAAAATCAGATGGGTAAGTGTTAACAAAAAGGTGGCACTTATCACATACCTCTGCACGTTCTTCTCTGTTGAATGGACGAAGAACATAACTTGCAGGATCCATTCTCCCCGGAGGCCTTCCGATTCCTAATTAAAAAAAAAGTGCAAAACACGTGAAAACTGAGTTTTTGACGCTATTAATCTTCCGACTATTATGTCGGCGACACTTTTGGTACTCAATATTTCCATTTTTAATCCTTCAACTCTTGTGCAAAAGACACTTTTGATATCCGCCTTTGAAATTTTACATATTTCATTTGACTTTCATAAAAGTGACACTTTTGGCCTTTCAACTATTATCGTAGTGAATTTTTAGTCCTTCATTTATTGTTCGAAAATCATAATCGAATGACTAACAATGTCGATTTGGCAATACTAGGGGACTAAATGTGGAAAATATTGAAATTGACCACTAAAAGTGTCTCGCACAATAATAGAAATACTAAAAGTGGAAAAGTTAATAGTCAAATATCAAAGGTGTCACTGGAACAGTAATCGGGGACTAAAAGTATCAAAAGCTGTGAAAACTACAGTTCTTTTAAAAGTACCTATTCTGAGACGAGGGAAATCACGGCTTCCCTTTAAGCGATCAATCACACTCCTCATCCTTAAACAAGGAAAACAGTGGGAACAGATTAAGAGTGCACAAGCACATCCCTAAGTGCAGTTTCTGAATCCAATGGCAAAAAGAGTTTTCATTTGTTGAAATTTGTTTGCACGAGTAACAATGACATTTGTTGCATAACACTGTAATATTTAGGGTGTGTTTAGTAAGGGTCATTTGGCTGAAAAGATGGTTGAATGCTGAACTTTCTGAAAGGAAAGGTGATGGAAACCTTCATTTCGGCCGAATAAGTAACTCAGAAGCTCTTATCTATTCCCATTATTAGTGTATAAGCAGGACACCAAAATAAGCCTAATACAGTTCACCTTCTCATTTTATATAGCAGCTATGTCAATACCAATGTGTTTTAAAGTACGTTAAAAAGTTCAACATAACCATGACGAAAGCACAACACAGCCCGCATCATGGCCGTAACACTACTATTAGCTACTTATAAATGTTATAGTTCATGTTTTTGTGTATTTAAAACACAAAAACATGAAATGCATAAAGTGAATGAGAGAACATGTGTGTCTTATACTCTTTTCCCAGACTAAAGGTGTAAAATGAAATGAAAGAATGCACCTAATCGAATACAGGTAGAGTTGGAACATAAGCAATACAAATTGAGAGCTAAAAGAAATGGATGAATTATAGGGTAAATTTGAATACAAACAGATAAATGAGCAATATAGTTTAAATGCCTAAATTCAGGCAAAAGAAAATAGAAGGCTAGAAATTACCCATTGTGTCCTCCATGTCCACCCTTAGGCAATAACCTCAACTTTGCAAAAGGTAAATCCATGTCATCAAAAATCTGGAAGGGGTGACTAGATCCAGTTACACAAAAAGACTACTCCCTCCGTCCCATTCTAAGGTTCTCCCTTTCCTTCCCTTTCCTTTTTTGGACGTCCCAACTAAAGGTTCTCATTTCTATTTTAGGAAAGAATTTACACGCTTACATGACAATTTAATCATCAAGTATTAAAAATTATATCAAAATTATTTCTCAAAATATACTTGATTTATCTTATCTAATTATTGTCTAAATAATCATGCCATTTTGCAATGGGAACCTTTAACCGGGATGGAGGTAGTATAAATCTTTAATCTTACATTTAGGAAAATACTTTACCACAAGAACTTGCTTCAAAGGAATCTTGTAATATGAAACAATTGCTCCAACCTGTTCACAGTAACCCAAAATATTACAAAGCAAAATAAATAATCTCTATAACACCATGTGAAAAGGAGGAGAGTAATGAAAGCATAGGTGTAGTAGATTGAACTTACAGACTCACCGCTTAAATTCATAAAAGTCTGAGGCTTCGCGAGTATAACAGGAACCTCTCCAATAAAACCTAGAAAAACATAACAGACAAAAACTTCTTTAAGATATGCATTAGAACACTAACTCTTATGTTCTTACACTTCTTAAATATTATGACAGGTGACAAACATGATTTCATAATAACAAAATCCCAATCAATTTACATTGTCTCTCTCAGATGTCAATTATTTACACTGCCATAAAGAATGGAAAAAATGCAAGTAATACTAGTTTTCTATTGTGGATCATCTGATCATCTCCAGGTAATTAGCTATAACGATAGCAGAGCTTGTAACGATCCATTATTCAAATGGATTAATAGCTGATTTCATCCCAAAGTCCCAAACTATCATCAAATTCACAAATATATCCTACTCTTTCACTTTTATAAAAAAGGGAAAATGGAAACTAATAATCCAACCTTTTAGCGGTCTTCTTACAATAGTCCCACCTTTTGATTATTCATGAATAATCCAACCTTTGCACCTCGTCTTCATTCACTGGTACCTGACCGGTTCATGACCTGTTGTTCCAAGTTATTTTCTTATCTTTGCAAAATATTATCTTTGTGAAAGGTGAGATTTATGGTATAATGGTTTGCAAAGATAGGAAAATAACTTGGAATAACAGGTCATGAACCGGTTAGGGACCGGTGAATGAAGATGAGTTGCAAGGGTTGGATTATTCATGTATAATCAAAAGGTGGGACTATTGTAAGAAGATCGCTAAAAGGTTGGATTATTAGTTTCTATTTTCCCTATAAAAAAATCAAACTTCATCTTTTTCAACAATTATGCCCTTCCTTTTGTTTTTTCAAAACTATATATTTTTATCAATACCAATAAGATATAAGCAATACAAATTTTTAAACTTAAAACTAGAAAGAAGTGAAAAAAAATATGAAACATTAATATGAATTTCTTCTTTAGTTTTACTAATTCATCCATTGAAAGAGTAATTGTGAGAAAAGTTGAAGTTTGATTCTTTTTTTAACATAAGTGAAAGTAAAAGATGAATTTGTGAATTTGATGATAGTTGGTGATATATTTAGCTAATAATCCTATTCAATTTGACACTGGATAATGAAAAGAATGCAAATGATAAAAGGAGCAGGTCTGGAGTAACCTTTGCCAAAGAGGGCTTTAAAAGAAACACTGCTCATTGATATCCCTTCTGCTTCAGCTATTGTATCCACCATCTCAAAACCAACCTGGATCAATCAAAGAGAAACATTACTGATCCAAGTCAGTTCCTAATTTCTAGTTCGACGATAGGATAGTTTTGCGTTACCAACATTATGGCGAGTGCCACTGAACCGTTTTCCAGGATTTCCGAGGCCGACGATAAGCCAAGGCTGCGAATTCGGGTTCCGCTTCTCCAGTTTGGACTCCGATAGTGGACCCTCCGCCGATGTAGACGTAGGCATACAGTTCAACCTGCTTGAGTATGAAGATAAAATTAGGGCTTTGAGGCGGGATGGGAAGAAGAGGCGACGGCGGCAGAAGAGGAGAAGGGCGGTCGATGTTGATGCGGCGACAGCTAAATTCATTTTCTGATGTAGTGCCCAAAACTAGAGTCGCGCTTACGGAGTGCGGAGTCATAATTAAAAGACAAGCTGATGAAGACGGTGAAAGATACGGCGTCGCTTTGATCGAGCAAAGGTACAAGTGTGAAAATTTTGAGTTTTTTTTTAAAGAAACTGATCATTACCAAACAGATCGAACCAAAACAGGTTACAAAGTGACAACAAGTATCGTGTCTACCGTCCGCTCAAGGACCAGATTCTGAATTAATCATCTCCGTAGAAGCCATATAATTCGCTAATCCCGCTTTGGGCTTTTATGGGTCATTTGACTTGCAGACACGACTCATCATCTCCTGTTTTAGATTGACCAGTTTTTTTGCTGGAAAACACAACACTACCAAAACAAAAACAACATCCAAAACGTGGGAAATAAATAAAACAAAATAAATAGAGTAAATAAGTTTCTCGGCTAAAGGAGCAGTAACCAACATCAGATCGTCTGGCGGGTCTGAGACCAGCACCCGCCCCTACCCCGTTTTTTGGAGGATCCAGCGCCATAACATCCTGTGCAACATCCTCTCTAGCCTGATCCGCCCAAGTTCTTCTCCTCTTCAGCTCTCCTGGCGCTCCTTCCTCTTCTATCCCATATGAGAGCATAGCATTCCCTGTTCGAGCTTTGGTACTCCCTTCCGTCTCATCTGAGTCCACATCCCGCACTGACCTCGCGCTATTTGATGGGTATATGCCACCACGAGAGGAGCTCCCTTCCGAGATCAGCCGTTTGCTACACATGCTTGGCTTCAATTTCCTTTCACTCGCTCTAAGCCATGGTCCAAAAGGTCTAATTATAGCTTGCCCCTCTTTTTCGTACCGAAGGGGGCAAAACTTCTTTGCGAGTCCAATCACACCGCAACAAAAGCAGAAACTAGACATCTTTTCATACTTAAAGTCTACTCAATACCCTTCTCCCTTACTCTTTCTTAGCGTGGTCCCAATTTTAAACATTTTACCAGTGTTCATACGGACTCTCACACGCATATAATTCTCCCTTTTTATCAAATTTTTGCTCATCCCGAGTGATAAGTTCCCCCAAATGATTCTCAATCTCCCTTGTCGTTCCCAAATTATCAAAGCAGTACGGTACATTATGAACTTGTACCCAGATCTCAAACTCATATAGCAACATCTTACTCGGGATATCACCCGGTCGAACAGCTTTTAACACAATCAAATTCTGATCAAACAACCATCGTCCATTATCCAGAACATGATTCATATCAACAGAATGGAAAAATTTAAACAGATACCTTCGTTCACCAATCTCTTGTATAGATATACCTTTGCCCGGGTGTCATAGATCAACCATGAAATCCCTGAAGAACGGAAATCGAATGACCTTGTTCGTGAGAACCATCTCGACCACCGGAAATTCCTTTGCCTTCACTGCCTCGATTGCCCTTCCTCTTCATCTTCAATCAGCAGTTCATCCTGTAAACCCCTAATTCCCACCACTCCGTACTTAGCAGCGAGCTGCCCTATCTGTTCGTTTTCCTGTTCGCGGTCCTCCCTACGACCATCAGCACCTGCGTCTTCCATCTCCCTGCCGCACCCGTCGTCCGAGACTCACTCCTCGGTACTACCGTATGGCAAAAACCAGCGCCACACTATGACGACGAAGTCGCTCGCCCCTCAGCTCTCGCTAGGGTATAAATATAGAACTTTGTTTTAAAAAAAATTACTTTTCTTTTTATTTGAAAAAGAAAAGGGGAAAATAAGCTCTCAAAATTATTCGTGATTTTACAATTATGCCTATGAATAGGAAGACTTGCAGAAATACTCCTCAACTTGTTGAAAATTAAGCAATTAGATACTTTTTATCTGCTGGTGTCTGTTATGTCCCTTATATTTTGATGATTGATATGTATTGTTTTGATGATGTCATACCTTTTAAATTATCCTTGTATTAGACTAGATTCTCCTGTTATGTTCTACTTTGTTAATTGTAATGTGCTCCTATATTAGTGATAAAGTGCTCAAGAAAAGCAATGAGTACTAAAAAGAGAAGAAACGTACCATTAAACAAAAAGAATATATAAAAAAAAGGTACGAAAAAGAGTTAACTGGTATTCATTGAACAGGAAGCTAATTGAAACACAAGATTTCGGCAGCGAGCTGAAAACTTGGCAGCCGGCTGAAAACCTTATTTTCCAATTAAAGCATCTGAAATCAAACTCACTCTTCTCTTAGCACAAAAACAATTAAACAAAAGACCAACTTGCAGTCAAAATAACAAATTGATAGAAAGTAAATTTATAAGAGATTTTTATCACATTATAAATTTCTTATGAATTTATTTTACTAAAAGCAAGTATTTTGTTATTTGTAAGGAAGCATTGAAACATCACTCAACTTTAATACTAAGTTTCTACGCACAAAAGAAGTAAAGATAATCCATCTTTATCTTTGCATTGAAATGAGGAAACAAGTTGAAGTGAAGATATTGATATGTGTCACAAGAAGACAAATACCAACCATGCTCTCCTCATTCAAGTGGAACAAAACAAGTAGATCAAGCAACGGTCAAGATTGATCTCCTCAGCCAACATGAGATTTAATGATTAGTCTATAAATACAGAAGGCGTGTGGGAAGACCAAGTGTGGTAAACCGAGAGGAGCCAAGTGGAATAGAAGGGAATCAAGTTTTACATGCTCACATCCAGCCAGCTGATTCTCCTTCACTACTTCGGCTACCACCCCACTCATCTAATGCTCTTAGATTAGCTACAATTCATACAAACTCATAGAGCTTAGATTAGTTTGTAGTTTAGGTTTACACCGATGTAAACTAGACTAGTGTTAGACATTCTGGAGAGCTTTGTGTTCAAATCCAGAAAATAAAAAAGGGACAGGGATATGAGTAACTCTTGGCAAGACAATGTCATTGAGTAGCTTAGAATGGTTTGAAATTCCTTGTGAAAAACCTCACAATCTACGCCTGGTGATTTGCAAGTCTTCCGGTTCAGGGTTCTTATTGCAAAATCGCAAATAGGTCAAGGGTTTATTTACCTCTTTTCTCTATTTGGAAAAAATTGAACTGAAAAAACCCGAACCGAACCCGGTCCAACTTGAACGGGATCCGAAAGTCGGGGCCCGAACATGAATCCATTTAAAGGTGGGTTTTTGAGATTTAAATTCAATTCAACCGAACCGAATTTTATTAAGCGACATTTGTTAATAATTCCGCAGAAGAGGTAAGTAATAAAAAAAGTCCAAGCCCAACTTAATTCGGTGGTTTAGGGAAGAGGTCTATGCGCGAGTATTACGTTTTTAAGCCAAGTTCGATTCCCACAGGCTACTGGTTCTCATCATTTAATTTTTTTTAAGCATTTGAAAAGTTCTCACACCGGTTGCATTGGAGTATTTACTCCCTATTCATCCATACATATGTGTCCCGTTAGTGCATAGTTTGAATAGGTGATGTAGGCTTCTTCAATGCTACGCCTTAGTGAAGTTTTATGAAATACATTCGGGTTTTCAACCGAAAAACCATCATGAAAATTCACTTTCAGATAAACCGGGTCTCAGTAATATTCGGTTTAGTTGCGGGTTAAGGAATTTGTGAAACCGATAAATTGATTCGGATTTTTCCCAGCTCGATAAATTTGTGAAACCTAAAATTCGATGAATTTGTTTGACCCCCCAAACATGTCATACTGCCGCAGAAAAAACCATTTTATATACAACATAAAAACAGATATAACAATTGAAGTTTCTTTTTCATATAAGGCAATGATGGAGTTTACTCCAACTACGAGAGCTATATCTACGAATGAGATGAAATATGGGCACCGTAAGACAATATTCTTATTTCAGGGTTCAGATCATTTGATAGGAAATATACAGGAAGTATTTATAGACTTTAGAAGCTAGTATTCTAGGAGGAAACCGATATAATAAATGCTATTAATTATACTATAACCGAATAAGCCTCATGTAACGTCTTGGACGTTGTGCAATGATTGCTTCCTTAAAGTCCACGTTCTTCCATTGAGTCCTGCCTGCAGCTATGCTCAAATGATAGTCTGCCACGTAAGTCATAGGAATATCCCGACCTCACTAGAACTCCGTCCAAACTTGAGGTTTGCTATCCAGCACTCCAGCCCGGCCTGGTTGTGGGTTCCTATCGTGGGCCTGATTCCTAATTAGGCCCAACGGCTTATTAATATTAATCCCATTTAGGGCTTGATCCCGTTTATGGGCTTGATCCCATTTATGGGCTAATCCCGTCTATTAGGCTAATCCCGTTGATGGCTGATCCCGTTGAGGGCTGATCCCGTTATGGGCTGGATTTCGTAATTGGGCCATGGTCAGAGTCCATGGTACCATCGGGCAATTTGGCCGAGACAACAATATTTTTTCTAACATTAAAATTGGCAATACAAATTTATTTTAATAATTAATTTTTTATGGCTTAATATAATATTGAGTACTATATGAAACTGTCAAAAAGTTGATAAAATATAGAGGAAGAGGAGGAGCCGAGGAGGGGGGGGGGCAACTTGAGAGAGAGAGAGAGAAGTAGAATCGACGACAAGTGAGACAAAAATTCATTGGCTCGGCAGCCCTTGTTATTGACAAAGAAAATCAAGAAGAGATGAAGAGTTGAGTGCGGGAGTACCGCACAATAGGAGAGCCACAAGAGATACATTCTAATATGATTTTTCCCATCTCTCCCCATAACCCCCACCGCAACAACATCCATCGCAAAAACTCACATTCCACCCTAACATGTAGTTGTAATTTTAATTTGGATTTTGTAACTTTGTAGATGTTTTAATTAATGTAGTTTCAGAACATTAAAATTTTAATTATTAAAACTGAATAAATTATCAATATAGGAGCCCGTTTGGAGAACTCTGTTTTCGGCTTATCAGGCTTATCAGCCAGCTTTTTCACCAAACACGTAACTTTTACTTTCGCGCGCTGAATTGTGTAATAAGCCGAAAAGGTAAGGTTGGAGTTACTTTTCTGGCTGTATTGGCTGAAGTTACTGTAGAGGACCATTTTAGCTATTTTTACATATAATTTTTTCTTTAATTTATTAATAAAATATATTTTTAAAATATTTTTTTCTTAAATCAGCAGAATCAGCCAAAACAGCCACTCCAGCCAGAATATCATAAATTTCAGCAGAATCAGCCAAAACAGCCGATTTTAGTGCTACCAAACGGGCTCTAGATGATTTAACTTCACACTAGTTGATTAAAAGATTTTGTCTTTGCAAAACAATTTGGACGAAGCTAGAAATGGAACAACCTAGAACATGTAAAACCTAGGTTAATGGATAAAACCATCTATGATATACAATTTTGTGCATTACGCTTTTGGTGTCTCATAAATGCATCAAAACCCTCCCCTCTATATTACAATTGATCGTGCACATAATGCTCTGCGAAAAAGGGAAAATTCCCGAAATAGGAGCAAATAAGTTTGAAAATTCCAAAATAGGACTGCCATGTTTTTATTCCCAAAATAGGAGTAATTACTGACAAGTTTGGAAAATACTGTTATGTTTAAAGTCTGGTACTGGCAAAACATGACAGTAATTAATCCTATTTTGGTAATAAAAACCCGTCAGTCCTATTTTGGAATATGCAAAAGTTTTTAGTCCTATTTAGGGTAATTTTCCACCAAAAGAGAAAATTGTTCAACATTGGACCAAAACTCAAGCTTTTCCCCAAAATACCACCACATGTATGTTTTTCCCCATATAAGACTAATCTTACATTTTCTACCCCTAATTCTATTTAATTAATTAATTGATCTAAACAATTGCATCCCTAGTTTCCTTGCACAACCAAGGTAGTGCGTCAGTGGCGGGGCAGTGTGTGGCGGCGGCAGCGTTCGATGGCGGATCCCGGCAGCGGCAGCGAACTGCGACAATTAATTCCCTGTAGGTCTCTTGCATAACCAAGACAGTTCGTTGGTAGCTGGGGCAATCCGGTGGTGGCGGCAGCTCAGATTCCGGCTGGCGGCAGAAATCTGGCAGGCTTTCAGAAAAAATCTGGAATTTTCTGGAGGTGCTCTGGCGGTGGCGGTGGCCGGAGGTCCGACAGTCATGGGGCAGTAGTGATAAAGGCTATGAGGGTTATTTTGGTCTAAACATATATATAAACTCCTAGTGTTTAAAATAAGTGCTCCTATTTTGATAAAAAAAAGTCAAAAACCATAATGTGCTCCTATTAAGATAAATTTCCCAAAAAAACACACTATCGAAAAAAATCAAATTGTTAAATGTATCTTAACATATTTATGTTCATGTTTAAAATTTGAAAACTTGACCTTTCTGTTCAAAACATTGTCAGCATTGTGGGTACTCCAATACAATTGAGATGCTGAGATGATCTAAGCCCAGAATCTAATATGGGCCGGGAAATATAAGGTGCCAACCTGATCAACCCTAAAGGCTAGTGTATATAAGCTCTTACAAACCAGTATCGTAATTGCTGCTGCGGCACTGCCCATCTATCAGCATTGACGATGGGTACGTCGGTTCAGAAGAAATCTACGCTTTTGTTGTTGAGTCGACGAAGGGACTTGACTGCGTTACTGATGAGTATCTCTTTTTGTTGTTTTGATTGGAAATTTTTTAGGTGCATACACGTATGTTTCGGAGCTTTGGAGGAAGAAGCAATCTGATGTGATGAGATTCCTGCTTCGGGTGAGGTGCTGGGAGTATCGGCAGCTTCCTTCACTCGTTCGCGTCAGGAGGCCCACTCGTCCTGACAAGGCTCGCCGCCTCGGCTACAAGGCCAAACAGGTATGCTGTGAGCAATCGTTGTCGAATATGCGTTTGTATACGTCATATTGCTTATGTTGTGTATGGGTCCAGATTAATCGAGGCATATTTATCTATATTATGGTTTTTCTATTATCACTCTGGATTTCCATTTCTGCTGGTCGTTTGTTATTTGTTTAATCAATGACTTTTAATGTTCATGGGCATGCCATTTCTTAATTTCAGCGTGTGATAGTTAAAAAGTCAAGGAGGTGAATAACATTTCCCACCCATATCTTTTTTAGGTCTAGCCGTCTAGGTCACTACAATAGCTACTTTCAATTTGATAATATTAATTTCAACTGTCTTAGAAAGTATCTTCATTGGTGTATTTATGAAAGGCCTTCTATTGGTATACTCTACGCGATCATTCTGAAAAGTTTTTATGTCCACAAAATAAAGAGGTTATATGAAACAAGAACACCAATAGAATTTATATCGCTTGCTTTTCATTTATTTAACGATCCTTTGATGTAGATACATACCTGTTTGAACTGTAGTTTTTTCTTAGGAAGCTCTGAAAAAAAGGTTTTACTTTCACAAACTAGATTAGTGGGACTACTGAGTGAGTATGCAATAATCCAAAGAGGTTGGATGTGTGTTTTAATTCTCCTATCAGAGAAGTAGCTTAACCTGTTCTTAATTCCTTTATCCCTCCTTCAGGAAAAGGCTTGATTTTGTTTGGCTTGCCTGTACTCTTGTTAGTTGCTGTGCATGTTTAGTTTTTTCACATTAACAAGCTTTCCATAACTGAAATTTTGAAAGATTCCACACCATGGAAAATGTTTTTTTTTCAGTTCTCTCAAGTGATTTGAAAACAACTTTATCTACTCAGAATATTGCGTGTCTTTGCATGTATATTCTCTAGTGGAACTTTTGATAAAATTGTCTCGAAGTAATTTTTTTTTCGTATTTTGACGTCGTTAAAACTTAATATATCTCATTTTCATTTGCTGAAAGATTTGTTAATCTTATCAGGGGTACGTCATTTATAGAGTGAGGGTGAGACGTGGAGGTAGAAAAAGACCAGTTCCAAAGGGTATTGTTTATGGAAAACCAACAAATCAGGGAGTTACTCAGCTGAAGTTTCAGAGGAGTAAACGATCAGTTGCAGAAGAGCGAGCTGGGAGAAAACTTGGGGGCCTCCGGGTTCTGAACTCCTACTGGATCAATGAGGTTTGCTCATAGTTCTTTTTGTTGTGTCAAGGCTTGTTTTGCAATGTGGAAATGTGCTTTTAGAAAATGTTTCTGTTTTTCCTCTGCTTCGTACTGTGGACATATTTTTAGGAGGAAATCATTAGTCATTAAAAGTACACATTTTCAAGGAAAACAAGACCTCTTGCTCAGTTTGGATATGAGGAAATGCCGGGGGGAGAGGGAGGTAGGGAAGCAAACAAAGGAAATTTTGTATTGAACGAAAAGGTGGAAGAAAGTACAAGATTGAAACTCAATAAATCAGATCTATACATTTGTTAATCTCTCTATTTTGATTTCTGTAATACAACTCTAACAACATCTAAGCCTTAGTGCAAACGATACTTGGGTAGGCTAAATTGATACATGGTAATATGTATTGGAGGCAAACGAAGAGAAAGATAAAAAGAGAAGGCATGACAAAAAAATAGAAACAACAAGATAAAAGTGAAGATGATATGTGATGAAGATAAAATTGATAAGAGTATAAAAGAAAACAATATAAAATTGATAAGATCAAAGGATTGAAAAGAATATATATATATATATATGTAATAAAAAAACAAAAGTATGAAGAACTTAAGAAAGATAAAAATTAAATAAATGGTTAAAAAAGGATGAAAAAAGATCAATCCTCCTTTATTTCAAGTCTATTTTGGTCTCCCTCTCCCTCCAAAGTCGTGCTCTCATTTTAACACAAGAAGATACATATCACTTCTAACTCCTTTAGTTCGAGTCTGTTTTTGTCTCCCTCTCTCTCTCCCCCATTGCTCATCCCCACACCTCTCAACTCGTCTAACAATCAGCCTTCTACGCACATGACCAAATCACCTTATTCGAGATTTCAGCATCTTATATTCAATAGATGCTACTCTTACGTGTTCTCACTCCTCAAGTGTATTAAAAATTTCTATTAATATTTGATTTCATGAACATTCTCACGGTATGAGGTATATAGAGGAATATGAAAACCAATTTCTTCATTATGCAGTATTTTCCCCTTTGCCCTTCCTTTTTTTGATCAGATAGAGTTTAAATGTTACCATGGAAAACATTTTTGGTAAATTTTAGACAGGTTAGTCCTTGAAACTAATGGACACCTGTTTTCAACATGATCCTTCCAGCTGTATACTAATGCAGTAATTCCTGAATATTTAGGACTCAACATATAAATACTATGAAGTCATATTGGTTGATCAAGCCCATGCTGCAATCCGAAATGATCCCAGGATCAACTGGCTTTGCAATCCTGTTCACAAGCACAGAGAACTTAGAGGTCTGACTTCAGCAGGTAAGCAAAACAGAGGACTCAGAGGAAAAGGATCCAAGTATCACAAAGCTCGCCCTTCACGCAGGGCCACTTGGAAGAGGAACCAGACCCTCTCTCTCCGTCGCTACCGTTAAATGCTTTGTACCAACTCTTGGATTTGCTCTCTGCATTGTCTCATTACCATTAAGTTTGAGTTTTTTCTTTGATTTTTATGTGGCTTCCTTTTACAATGAGAAATGCTGATGCACTTTTTGGACTGCATAATATTTATGTTTTCTTAGACATTTATGGTCTTGTTACCTTATATTGCTGGAGAGAAAGTACTAAACTTTTTTATGCCACACTCGTTTAGTTCTTTTGTATCTTTTTTTTGGCAAAATTCCCTAATTGGCTAATTATGAGAAAAATGACAAGGAAAATCACACTTTCACCCTTCATTCCTTCAATAGTACTCGCATTGAAAAGTTGTCTTCGTGTTTTCAAGTTTGCAAATGTCACTAGGGTTGGACCGGGCCCCCGTTGGGGCTTGCGGGGCTGGGTTTGGGAATTATAGGCCTGGTAACGGCCAGGAAAGTTCCAGGCCCGGGGTTTTCTTTGGGAATTATATATATTTTTTAAATATTGGTTTTCTTATTTATTCCCCCCACCCGACCCAGCCCCACCTGCCTGGCCCCCAAATCCCCAATCCATTTGAAACAATAAAAATAAAAAACAGTTTTGGGCTTGGGCTGGTCCACCAAATACCATATCCGTAGCCCACCCCAAAACCCTCTTGGTTTGGGCCCAAGGCCTGGTCCCAGCCAGCCGATTTGTGCTGTACAGCACAGTTGCGGTCCGGGTCTGGTACGGGCAGGTCCGTTTGGGCCTAGTCCATGCCTAAATGTCAGTCTTAATTAGTGCTAGACTCGGGTCGGGTCTGGGCCGGGCCTAGGGCCAGGTGCGCCTCCGGTTTTGAATAGGTGACCGGTGGGCCTGGCCCGGGTAACCACCGGGGTCGGGCCTTGGGTCAATTTTTTTTTCCTTTTCCTAATTAATCCCCCCACCCCAAACCACCCCAAATGACCCAAAATACCTAGCCCTACCCGAAAAGTTAAAAAAAATTGAAAAAAATAATTAAAAAGCCCAGAACTGGGCCCGAACTGGCCGGGCCGTTTCTTTTGGGTGACCTGAGCCCGCACCGGGAACCCCCCTGGCCGTGCCTACCCGGACCGGTCACTTGCCGGGCTACCAGGTCGGGCCGGTTCAGCACAGTTCCGGTCTTGGGTCGGTTTTGGGTCGGGCCACCCGGCCTGAGTCTAGCACTAGTCTTAATTGTCCAAATTGTTAGAGATATGGTTCTTTGATGGGAAAACTGTCAAATAAGTCCATATACTTTTAACAAAAAGTCAATTGAGTCCATATATTTTTTTTCGCGTCGATCAAGTACATGAACTATAAAAAATAAACCAAATCACCTATTTAATGGGTAATCAACCGGTCATCCGGTTGTGTGTAAGGATGGACTCGGGCCGGGCCAACCGGCCCGGAACCGGACCGGCCCGCTACTGTGCGGGCCCGGACCGGCCCGGTTAACCGGTTCGGTTCCGGTTCGGGCCTCCCGGCCCGGTGGTATACCGGTCTGGGCCCGGGCCTCCAGTTTAGTGAACCGGCCCGGCCGGGCCGGGCCCGGTTCGGGCCGGAATTTAATTTTTTTTTTTTTTTTTTGAATTTTTTTTTTAAGTTTTGGGTTGGATTAGGTATTTTGGGCCATTTGGGGTGGTTTGGGGTGGAGGGGGAGGGGTAGGGGGTTAAATAAGAGAAGAAGAAGAAAAAAAAAATAAACATTCCGGGTGGCCCGGCCCGGCCCGGCCCGGTTCTGGCCCGGAACCGGAACCGGAACCGCCCACCACCGGTTCGGGCTCGGGCCTCCTTTTTCTGAACCGAGGCCCGGCCGGGCCCAGGCCCGAACCGGGCCCGAACCGGAACCGGTCCACCCCTAGTTGTGTGCCTACTTGGAGGTCTGGCTGGGCATTTTTTTCTTTTTCAATTTTTATTTTTTCTTTTCATTTTCTTTTTCAATTTCTCCTTAGCTCCCTCACTGCGCAGATTACCGATCCATGGAGCCATTGAGGTTGTGGTGGTGGCTATGGAGGTTAGGGAGGTTGTGGTGGTGGCTATGGAGGTTAGGGAGGTTGAAGGTCGTTCTAATGGAAAAGGCGAAGGTAGAGACTACTGAAGTGGAAGCCGGAGGCTGAGGGTATGGTGGCAAGGGCGGCGGAGTTGGTGGCTATGGAATCCGGCGTGGCTGGAGGTCGTTGCAATGGAGGCCGGAAAAGGGCTTGAGGTTGTGGACGGAGGCGTGTGGTAGAGCGGAGGGTCAATTAAGGTGAAGGTGGAGGAAGGACTCCGAAGGCGGTGGGCGGTGGGCGGTGGGCGGTGGCTATAGAGGCTGGGCGGCGAGGTAATGGCGGACTTAGTTCCGGGGGTGGCGGAGTTCGTTCCGGTGGGAGTGGTGGAGCAGCAAAAATGGAAAAAAGAGTCAGACGTGTGGTGGAGACAAGAAAAAGAAAGATACTCCGTAGTTTCGAATCAGGTGGAGCTGCGAACTGAAAAGGGGGAAGATGAGCGGACAGGAAGAAAGAAGAAAGAGAATAAAAGAGAGAGGAAAAAAAAGAAAAAGAAAATTAAAAAAATTGGAAAACAATAGAAAATTGCCAGATGTAACATCCACGTAGGTGGTTAACCGGTTAACCGGCTGACTACCTACTAAATAGCTGATTCGGTCATTTATTGATAGTTCTTGGACTTGATTGATTCGAAAAATAGTACATGGACTTAATTGACTTTTTGGTAAAAGTAATGGACTTATTTGACAGTTTTCTCTTCTTTGATTGATGACATTTATAAGGGGGGTGAGTACTGAGTATTACGTTTACAACATTTCGAAGGTCCCATTTACATTTTTTTTGTGGAAGAATGGGTGCATAAGTATTCACTTTTGTACTAAAAAGTACAAAACTGTTACCGTTGACGTGTTACATTACCAATCCTTGATATGGTACTACACTTTCTTTTGAATTGTTTTTCCGTCCTAGACTAGATTTAAATAGATCAGATCAGACTTGAATAACTATAAAATACACAAATCATACATTTACCAAGTCAATTCAGACTTGGCCAGACCAGAACTGATTTAAACAGATTAGATTAGACCAAACTAACTAATTTCAAATAAAGTGAAATGATATGGGCTACATTAGGGTGGACTGAGATGGGTTGGGCTAGGACTGGGCGGATCCTCAGTTTAAAAATTTCAAATCCGGTACTGGGCGGATCCTCAGTAGGTACTACACTACTAGTCTACTACTACATTGATGATGTTTTCTTTTGAATTGTTTTTCGGTCCTAGACTAGATTTAAATAGATCAGATCAGACTTGAATAACTATAAAATACACAAATCATACATTTACCAAGTCAATTCAGACTTGGCCAGACCAGAACTGATTTAAACATATTAGATTAGACCAAACTAACTAATTTCAAATAAAGTGAAATGATATGGGCTACATTAGGGTGGACTGAGATGGGTTGGGCTAGGACTGGGCGGATCCTCAGTTAAAAAATTTCAAATCCGGTACTGGTCTGAGTATGTACTAGTATCAGCCTACTAGGTTAGGTCGGGTCCGGGCCCATGTCGGGTCGGGCTAATTTTTATTTTGTTTTACTTTTTTTTTGAATTAATTCACAAGTGCTACAAATAATTAAATGTATATTTATTCAAATATGAAGTACACTTGATAATTGAAAATAATTTTAAACTTTAAATACATTTGGCAGAAAATCAGTTGGAATTTCCGCCAGCATCGATTGTTTTTTATTTATGAAGTGACGGTCAAGAGCGATGCAAACTTCTTGAATTCTATGCCTTCAACTAATCGTGAAATGAAATGAGCGTCTCAAGAGATTGTGCGCTCAATATTGTTCTATAATCCGTGAGAACGTTGCCGGCTTCGCTAAATTCTTGTTCCACGACTAGTGTTGACACCAACATTGATAGCATTCGCTTCAATCAGGAACATTCCTTCTTTTTCCATCCACCACTTAAGAACGTTAAAGTCATCTCCCCTTCTTCGTACTCAACAGGAAACGCTAGATATAAAGAAAGTTTGTTAATCTAGCTTTGTGCAATAGGAGGAGTTGATTTTTTCCCCATAAGATTACCAAATGTAGATTCGAAAAATGATTTTCCTTTAGATGAAGAAGCAATTGGTTTCAGGGAGGGGTGCGTTAGCATAATATGCATGAAACTCATTAAATTATTGATGAAATAAGTTACCAACCTCGTTGTATTGCTCTTTAGGATCTATGGACTTCTCTTCGTACATAGGTAATGGATTGAAAAACAAGTTTAATAGTACTTTATACAATTTTGATAAGCATGTAGTTTGAAACGAGGATCAATCACAAAGGCAATACCATATATAGATGGATATATATAAAATATTTTAAAAACTTTTATTTCCTAAAATCACAAAAATAATGAGCATAATCGACTTGTTGAAATTCAGAAAAAGCATCGGCAAGATTAACAGGTTCAACAAAAAATTGGTTTGCCGTAGGTTTATAAACATGACAAAAGTTAGAGTTGCATTATTAAAAAAACTTGGCAGATTTTTTCAACAGTGTCCATCTTAGCCGGATTTATAATATAGTTAGCAACTTCTTTTAAAAAAGCAGGGAAATGGACTTTAAATCTAAGAAGTACATCAATTTAAGTTATAACTACTACTTCAATGAATAGACAAACCTTTTGAAAAAACACAATAGTTCACACATCTAGCCCTCAAATATTGACATCATTGTTTTTTCAGTTGATTATTACCCCAAATTAGTCTAATACGGTTAAACCGTCCTTTACACATAAATTGAGAATATGACATGCACAAAGCTGATGAGAAAACTACCCATCAAAGTAGGATCATACAATTCACGTAATCTAGGTATATCAACAGTGTTATTACTAGCATTATCAAAACCAATAGCAAAAACTTTATCAATCAAATTATATTCAGTTAAAATACGCTCAATGAGAATATAAATATTATCACTGATGTTTCGGTCATTAAATTCTCAAAAAACGATAACACGTTTATGCATATCCCAATTAGGATCAATATAATGTACACGCCCAAATAATACAAATGATGATAAATATCATCCCCATATATCACTACAAATACTAACAAGTTCATCAAAGTTTGTGAAGACATTTTCAATTTATCCTTTTTCAAAACATATTGCCTTATAACTTCTTTTTAATGGTTTTGCGACTATAGTTTCGAAATTGAGGATTTAAAGAACCTTAGCATGAGCACGCAAAGCAAGGATTGAAGAAAAAATATAAGACAACTTTTGTTCAACAGTTAATTCAGACATAGCAGCGTTTGGAATCATCATATGATAAATTATCAAAGGGTTGGCCAGTTGCAAACCTCGATATTTGTGTCTGTGTCCCCTTGCCTTTTTGCCCACTCCATGGGGTGTCACGCCTTCAAATGCCTATGAGCGTCGCCGTATCCTTGCGAAATCCCCAAGTTTATATTTTTCTTACAATGTTGGCAAGTTGCCCACCATTTCTCACTTTCCGGTTCCTTCCACTTATCAAAATTATTTTTCGTAATGAGATATTCACCTTTCATACCAGGTTGGGATGACATGGGCGACAGTGGCAGTGACACGGGCAGCGACAGTAGTGACATCCAAATGGTAGTGACCGGTTTGCCGGAAGAGGTTGCCAAAAAAATTTCCGGTGGTTATAGTGACATTAAAATCTGATAGTGACTTATAATAGTAACATAAAAATCTGACAGGGACATCATGTTATTCCATATATGTTACCTTCTTAGTCACATTTTTGTCCTTTTATAAAAATGGTCACTTTTTTGGAAAATTGCTTCAATTAAGTAATATTCAAGGGAAAAGCCCTATAATATATAAGTATACTACTATAAGATGAGTAGTACACTTATGTTTAATACTTTAATATATATTGTATATACTTAATATATAAGTAGATATAATATATGTAAATATAAGTAGACAATAAGTATATAAGTTGATAATAAGTAGATATTAAGTAGATAATAAGTATATAAGTGGATAGTACATGTATTTATAAGTAGACTAGTTTAGTAACGTGCGTTGTGCCTCGTGGTAATGTCCAAGGCCATTGAAGGGACATTAATTCCCCAGTTTAGTTTGAGTGAATATATGAGTAATATGAATACAATATTTGAATACATACTTTGTTATTCA